TCTTGTTGAATTCAGACCAATTCTCCAGTTTCTTAGATTTGTTTTGAATTCTAATCCTAACCTCCCAACTGCTTTCAACTCCTCCCAGACTGGTGTCATATTCAGATTTTATAAGCATACTCTCCATTCCATTATCTAAGTCATTAATGAAAATACTGAATAGTGTCAGACCCAGGACAGACCTTTGCAAGACCCTCCCAGTTGATGAGTACTCTTTGAGTCTGGTCTTTCAACCAGGCATGCACCTACCTTATAATAATTTTATCTCTAGACCATATTTCCCTAGTTTGTTTATGAGAATGTCCTGTGGAATGGTCTCAAAAGTCTTACTAAAATCAAGAAATTTATCACTTTTACTGCTTCCCCCTTATTCACTCTGCCAGCAACCCTGTCAAAAAAGGAAATCTGTTCTTGACAAATTCATGCTGGCTATTCCTCACAACCTTATTATTCAGCAGGTGTTCACAAACTGATTGTTTAATAATTTGTTCCAGTACCTTTCCAAGTATCAAAGTTAGGCTGATTGGTCTATAATTTCCCGGGTCCTCTTTGTTTCTCTTTTTAAAGACAGATACTATGTTTGCCCTTCTTCAGTCTACTAGGACTTCATCCATTCTCCAGGAGTTCTCAGAGATAATTGCTAACAGTTCCAAGATTGCTTCAGCCGTTCCTTAAGTACTCTAGAATGAATTTCATCAGGCCCTACTGACTTGAATACATCTAACTTATCTAAATATTCTTTAACCTGTTCTTTCCCTATCTTGGCTTGCATTCCTTCATGGAGAATCTGTTTTTTTCATTTTGATTGTTTAAACAATCTAGGAAATTATACACCCACATTCACACAGTTAAAAGAATGTTAAGTTTGCAAAGTGAAGCACTCAAAAGTTAGGAAATGCCAGAATGAAGGTTAGCTGTGCAACCTTAATCCTGTTTCTGTGTGTGTGTGTGCGTGCGTGTGCGTGTGTATTATGGTACAGTCTTCAATTACATGATGAAATGATATTTTTCCAAAAAGATGCTTGCCTCATTCAGTGCTCAGGTCAGATGAATCAGGATGGGGATGAATCAGAGTTGTATAATAAAGGAGCCTTGTCTGTAGGGATCCTGCTTCATTTATTTCAAAAGTTGGGAGGTGTGTACTGAATGAGGCAGGTAACTGCAGGAAGAGAAAGGACAGTCTCAGAGATAAGGCAGCTGAATTCTGCCCAGCAGAACTAGATTCTATCCCTGCCTCTGCTACAGAGTCCCTGTGTGATGTTAGGCAAGTCACTTAAACCAAATTTAGCAAAGGTGGTCGCTAATTGTGTGTTCCTCATTTGCTGGGTGCCTCAATTAAGACCCTGAGGTATGATCTGTAGAAGTTCTGAGCAGTCATGGAAGACGGGAGATGTTCCAGAAGACTGGAAAAGGGCAAATATGATGCCCATCTATAAAAACGGAAATAAGGACAACCTGGGGAATTACAGACCAGTCAGCTTAACTTCTGTACCTGGAAAGATAATGGAGCAAATAATTAAGCAATCAATTTGCAAACACTTAGAAGATAATAAGGTGATAAATAACAGTCAGCATGGATTTGTCAAGAACAAATCATGTCAAACCAACCTGATAGCTTTCTTTGACAGGGTAACAAGCCTTGTGGATAGGGGGGAAGCAGTAGATGTGGTATATCTTGACTTTAGTAAGGCTTTTGATACGGTCTCGCATGACCTTCTCATAAACCAATTAGGGAAATACAACCTAGATGGAGCTACTATAATGTGAGTGCATAACTGGTTGGAAAATTGTTCCCAGAGAGTAGTTATCAGTGGTTCACGTTCGTGCTGGAAGGGCATAATGAGTGGGGTCCCGCATGGATCGGTTCTGTTCAATATCTTCATCAGTGATTTAGATAATGGCATAGAGAGTTTCTAAAGTTTGTGGACAATGCCAAGCTGGGAGGGGTTGCAAGTGCTTTGGCGCATAGGATTAAAATTCAAAATGGTCTGGACAAACTGGAGAAATGGTCTGAAGCAAATAGGACGTAATCCAATAAGGACAAATGCAAAGTATTCCACTTAGGAAGGAACAATCAGTTGCACACATAGAAAATGGGAAATGACTGCCTAGGAAGGAGTACTGTGGAAAGGGATCTGGAGGTCATAGTGGATCACAAGCTAAATATGAGTCAACAGTGTAACGCTGTTGCAAAAAAAGCGAACATCATTCTGGGATGTATTAGCAGGAGTATTGTAAGCAAGACACGAGAAGTAATTCTTCCGCTCTACTCCGCACCGATTGGGCCTTAACTGGAGTACTGTGTCCAGTTCTGGGCACCACATTTCAGGAAAGATGTGGACAAATTGGAGAAAGTCCAGAGAAAAGCAACAAAAATGATTAAAGGTCTACAAAACATGACTTATGAGGGAATATTGAACAAATTGGGTTTGTTTAGTCTTTCGGAGAGAAGACTGAGGGGGGACGTGATCACAGTTTTCAAGTACATAAAAGGTTGTTATAAGGAGGAGGGAGAAAAATTATTCTTCTTAACCTCTGAGGATAGGACAAGAAGCAATGGGCTTAAATTGCAGCAAGGGCGGTTTAGGTTGGACATTAGGAAAAACTTCCTAACTGTCAGAGTGGTTAAGCACTGGAATAAATTGCCGAGGGAGGTGGTGGAATCTCCATCATTGGTGATTTTTAAGAACAGGTTGGACAAACACCTGTCAGGGATGGTCTAGATCAGGGGTGGGCAAACTTTCTGGCCCGAGGGCCACACTGGGGAATAGAAATTGTATGGAGGGCCATGAATGCTCACAAAAGTGGGGTTGGAGTGCGGGAGGGGGCTCTGGGGTGGGGCTGGGGATGAGGAGTTTGAGGTGTAGGTGGGTGCTCTGGGCTGGGACCGAGGGGTTCGGAGGGTGGGAGCAGGGGTGAGGGAAGGGGACTGGGTTCTGGCTGGGGATGCGGGCTCTGAGGCGGAGCTGGGGCTGAGAGGTTTGGATGCAGGAGGGTGCTGTGGGCTAGGATTGAGGGGTTTGGAGAGTGGGAGGGGGATCAGGGCTGGGGTTGGGGCATGGGGAGAGGCTCAGGGGTGTGGCCCCCGACCCAGCACCCCGGCCGGAGCATCAGAGCGGGGCTGAGCAGCATGGTGCAGCTCCCGACCCAGCTCCCCGGCTGGAGAGGGCCCGAGCCACTTGATGCAGCTCAGGGGCCAGCTTAAAATGGCCGTAGTTTGCCCACCCCTGGTTTAGATAATACTTAGTCCTACCTTGAATGCAGGGGACTGGACTAGATGACCTCTCGAGATCCCTTCCAGTTCTATGACTCCATGATTCATAGATGCAATGGAAGCTGTGCTTTGAACACACAATGTACTTTGTAATGCTAAATATTCTGGAAAATCAGATCCTGAGTGTTTCAAATTGGGCACCCAAAATTAGTGGATACTTTTGACCTCAATGTCTCTATGCCTCAGTTCCCCATTTGTAAAATGAGAATAATAATATCCCCAAACCTCATGGGGTGTTGCAAAAATAAATTAATTCATATTCCTGAAGCATTCAAATACTATAGTGATGAACATCACAAAAAGCCAATGAGGAAATTAACAATTCAGCCTTTAGACTAGGGTTTGAATAGCATAAAATATAAAAGACATAGGGTCACCCATTGAACAATAAGGAGAAAACAAAATATTGAATAGCTGTTCCTTAAATAAGCATCATCCATTCTGTGCACTGAATGAGGCAGCGGTCTTGTGGAAAAGACAGCATGTGATCATGTAATTAAAGCCTATATTAAAATGCACATGCACAAGGGAACTGAATTAAAGTTGCACAGGCAACCTTAATTCTGGCATTTCCTAACCTCTAGGAAGCCTGAGCTTGGGCTCTCTTCCTCCTCCAAGTTCTAACCAAGGCATATGTAATACCTCACTGATCTACCAGCTAGTGGTTTGACCATTTGTCTGCTCAGGTGAACTCACATAGCTTCCACTTTCCTCTTCCTTCCATTCCCTACTTATTGCCTCAGAGTCCTCCCACATAAATGCTGAATGCCCACCACATACCACAAATACTGCGTTTGCCCATTGGAGTGGTTTCTTTATAGTCCTGTTCCTATGCCACCTGTCAGAGGAGAGCACAAAATCTAAAGCAGTTTCACCATCCTACTTCAGTATATACGAGGGTTCACATAAGATTAGTTTAAGACATCTGAATGAACAAATTAATAAAACAATATTCTTATGGACATGCTAAACAACCATTTTCACTAGATAGATTATGCTTCAATACACTTTATGCTAGTCTGGTCAGCCTTTATAGCTGCAAGATAAAGAACAAAATTAACCTTTACTAGACAAGAGAGGAGCGAGTCATTCGATTAAGTGATATCTACAACCAAATAGAGGCTTTCTGAGTTAAAATATACCTCCGAAAATATTAGTAAGGTATCTCCTGCAAAGGAAGCAGCAATTGCAAAGCTCTCATTAATATAAATAGGAGCACAGTAAGATCTACGCAGAGCATTTCTGGAAATTGTACCCGTTAACTCCTTTAAATTTAGATTTAGGGGAAATTTTGCACATCTTCCTTTAAAAATATTTTTTGTTGTTTTTGTACAAAAATATTTTTTGTTGTTTTTGTACAGATACCTCTACGCTCTGTATTGTAAGATCCTGAGATGCCATGGTGATGATAATGATATGAAAGTATAGATAACTAAACAGGCCACCCACCTGCACATAGACCATGTATCCTACACTAGAGAGTACACAGTAATCAGTAATTCTGCATTTGTCACAACTATTTTTGCTGCCATCTGGTCACTGCCACGTGAGTCTTGATTTGATGATTCTTGGAGAGCACTTTCAATCATCAAACCAATTAATTTTAGGGACAGAGCAGAAAAGGAATTCAATCAATTTTAGAAGCCTTTTCCTTTTAAATGCTGGGTTTTGTTCTTTGTTGGTGGGTTTTTCATGGGGGCTGGGAGAAGAATGTTTAAAAATTTACCTCAGGATCTTCACAGTGATGTTGAAAAGGTACCATGCTGCCCATAACGGCAGTTCCCAGAACTGACATAAAGGACATTTTGTGATCTGACACCCTGGTCTTTTGCCAAATAACTGCCTGAAACAAAATGGCACAGAGTCAAATTTTTGACATTATATTTAAGTTTGTTGAACTCAAGTCATCTGCAACATTACATGACTGAAAACATATATACACAACTGCACACTTATACAGGACATGTAACATTCTATTCTTTGATCCTCTTGCATTCATAGCTTTAGAATGAACATACATGTGACAGTACTTTATGATATATCATCTCATAAAATCTTACTCCTAGTTTAAATAAAGAACAAGAAAATGAAGGAATCTGTTCCCACATATATATATTAATCATTGATGTAACTTTAACTTACAAGGATTTCTGCAAGAATTGAAATTCGTGCAATTGCTGAGAAGTAATCAGCAAAAGAATTTATTATGGATCCACTCTGCCCTCACATGCATTCATGTAGTCAGTGGGTTTGTATGGCTGTAACTGTATCAGATTGGGGTCCTAAAAATGCATCTTGCATATTCTTCATACCGGCTGGCATCATAGTATAGAAGTTGTGATGCTTATAGTACCATGGCCAAAGTATAAATCACTGGCCTGGGAATCATTAGGTTAGGTTAGTCATTAGGTTAGGTTAGGTTTCTGTTCCTAGACTCAGTGTCTAACTGCCACTCTCTCTGCCTTAGCTTCTTTATTTGTGTAAAGAAGGAAATTGTGCTTGCTTACTCACACCTTTGTAAAGTGCTTAGAGAAGAATAAAAAAAGGCTACATAATTAATTATACACCTTGCTATGCTGGTGTAAGCCCCTAGATAGATAAGTTACACTGGATTTCAGATCCCAGAGAAGACAAGGCCCAAGACAGAAGTACAGTCTTAGCTTTGAACCTCTTAGCTTTTGTCATTTTGTGCCAATGTTAACATAGAAACTTGCATTTTAGTTAATCCCCTATTTTTGGGCAAATTAGAAGAAGAAATGGGTGGTACGTATTACGTGCTTTTATTTTTTTTTTAAATTGCTCCTAGATAGCTATGAGTTAATACGAAAAACGCTAAGGACTGCTGCTCCTGTTACCATCTATCCTGATCAGAGACATATTCAGGAATTTAAGATACAGGTATGTCTACAAGAATTTAGTTTTTGGCATTCTGGGATGTAAATCTACCCCACACTAGCCCACCATACACTAGCCATGTGGACCATGCTATGGCACAGTTCCCTAGTGTGTTTTAATCTACTCCCATTTCAAAGTGGGAGAGATCAAAGCACACTAGAGAACTTTTAGTGCACAGCAGCAGGATCTATACAGACACTTAGCATACAGCAAGCTAGTGACAGGTAGATTTACATCCCAGCTTGCCACAAACTAAGTGTTTGTGTAAACAAATCCACAGATGAATGACTTGACAAACTACAATAGCTTGAGCTCCCTCAGAACCATTAGTCTCTCAGCAAATATCTGTTACAGACATTATTGACATACCTTAGTTGAGGTTTTCAAAGTAAACTAGAGGATTTAGCCACACAACTCAGGTTGAGATTAATGGGAATGGTCTGACTAATCCCCCCTCCTAGTAAGCACTAAACATCTTTATAATTATACATAGACTTTAACCAGTGTTTCATGTTGACTACAGTTATCAAATAGCTGCATCTAAGTGTGTTTTAGTGTGCAACATTCCCCAAGTGCTTCAGCACCTAAGCACAACAAGATAAATTAAGATAAAAAGATGTTAGATTTAACCTGAAATTCCTTTGCGTTACAATGCTGAATTTAAAGTGTCCTAATATGTGCAAGGAATCCAAGAAATACAAAGTGAGTTCATAGTATTCAAGTACCGGATAGGATTTAAAAATATGGTAAGTGAGCAACAAATATACCTACAACCTCAAGAAATAAATACAGAACCTTAAAATCCCACCTGTCCTCCAAGGTATTTCCTTGCCTTGCAGGGTGCATTCCATTGAAGAACACTAAATTCCTTTAAAAGTGATACTTGCTTTCTGCACAACAGATGGAATGTTCAGGCTGCAGGACTGCAGATATAGGAGACTACAATTGCTCCCCAGTCTTTATTTCTTCTAATTACACATCAAACACATTGAGCACCATTTGTACTGCTGGACTTGCTACTTGAGTCCAACTCACTTAAGAGTATAAGAATATAGTCATAAGGGGCACTGTGACCATCACCTTCTCCTTCCACTGCAAGCTTGAAAAGCCCTGAATTTAGTGGCTCTGGTTCACTGGTGGTGGACAGCGGGATAAGAGCCACATTTCTAGGAATTCCATAGGAGCTCCACTGAGGTTTCCACTGTGCTACTGAATGGTGAGCACGGTAGACAGAGGGACAACGGCTGCCTTGCGGATTTAGCAGCAGCTCTGAAGTGGTATTGCTGATGCTTCATAGAGTGAGTAGTGGAGGAGGGAAATTCTTACTCCCTGCCCCATAAACATCCTCAAAGCAGTGAGGAAAGAATTTTCCCTTTAGAGTTCCTCTTTAAAAAAACATATTTGTTACTGCTTCTATTTTGAGTTATATCTACATTTTAAGTGATCAAAAGTGCCAAGCAATTTATCTTTACTAGATATTATATTTTAAATGTGTGTGACCAAACTGAGAAAGATGCTCGTGACACAACTAATATAAATGTCACACTGTTTATTTTAGCTTGTATTAACGTGATGCCACAGGTACAGATATAAATCCTAGCTGCTGATTAATGCAAGGATGTCATTACACTGCCTGACCTGCTGAATGGCTGAAAAAAGCTCATTTCAATAAACTGCCTTAAGAAAGGTATGGAACATAAAAACTTACTAAATGCAAACTCTGTAAAAGAGGAAACTGCTAATAATTTGGGGGCACATTTTTACTGATCAATGTTTTCTTAAATATCAGGATTAAAAGCTGTAGGCAAAACTCCTAAATCTAGTTACTAGAACACGTTAGCTCAAAGTTCTCACATTGCAGAGGTCAGTCAACTAGTTAAACGTGCGTATCGGATAACCACACAACAGATTGGTTTAGATTCATTTTCAGAACTGGCTGCACACTATGAAACAACACGGCATGATACTTTAAAAATAACTGGTAATCTAAAGAATACATTATAAATGAACTGACTTCACCAACAGGTTTTGAAAAAGAAGAATCAAAGCTGTTAAGAAGCAATGCTACTTATATTTATTTATTTTTGAAAGTGTCAGTACTCCCCAGTGAGTTTCCTGCAACAGTTGATTTTTATAACCTTGGTTATATGCTGAAATTGTGCTAAAAATATATACACACACACCCCCTTATATTTTCTAGGTCACATAAGCCTGGTGTCTGCGATGAGCCAAGTAAGAATCTGACTCTAGTCAGTATGATGACACTGCAAAAACACCCTAATTAAAGATATATTATTACATACAGACCATCTTAGGTTTTGTTGGAGCTCACCAAATATATCCTGCCTCCCTCCCCATTTCATTGAGGGGCACTGCATGAATTAGAAGGCATAAAAAGCCAAATGCATATAAATATCTATTTCACGGGCATAGATTAGTGTATTGACACATTCGGTATTTGTGTATACAGTACGTACATTTTCTTTAATTATACCCCCCCACACACACACACTTCATTCAGACCATACATCTCTGTTGCTAAATTTTAGAGCACATACATATAGGCCAAGATTATTCCTGGTCTTTTGAACAGGTGCATAATAAGTGGGGGAAGAGTCCCTTATTTGCATCCCGCAGCAGAAGCTGGGAACAATGCTTTTATGCTCATGAAGAACATGAGTTCTTCAGAGTCATCCTTTCCAAAGACAGTAGGGAAGGTCATAGGGCCAGACCCCGCTCCTCAACCAGCCTTGTTTTTTAATACTCTGACCAGCAGCCATGTTAATACTTTTACCAGCATAATTGGTTGCTGGTTTACCAACAAAAGAGAAAGCTAAATCTAATAGTCAAAACAGAGAACTGGAGGTCAGGGGAACCGGATTCTATTTCTGTCACTGACTCAAAGTGTAACTTTCAGTGAGTCACTTAACCTGCCTGAACCACAGTTTACCTAGCTGACAAATGGGAGTAATTAATGTTTCCTGCCATTGTAAAGCACATTGAGATCCTTAGCTGAAAGGTGATACATCCATAAAGGTTATGTCTTCACTGCCAAAAAAAAAAAAAAAAGGTGCTCATTTACCAGGTGATAACTAACCCGTGCTAGCTATCATGCTGTAAAATCCTAGTGGAGACAAGTTTGCAATCTTTACCGTAAAGTAGCTAGGTGAGGGAAACATAATGCGGTAAAAACAAGAGTGCCTTGTCTCGACTGGCATTTTACAGCACAATAGCTAACGCATATTACACGTGGTCCTGAATAAGAATGGATTTAAGTGCATGCTTAAGTGTTTCTTGAATCAGGCCACAAATCTTTTTTTGAAAAGTGGAAAGAGGCTGCTGGCTTTTGTGGGGGTTTTACAGGATGTGTATATAGACACTGCAACTTTCCCAAATTTTCCTATAAAACTCCAAATTAGCTGGTTTATTGAAACAGAAAAGTGACAAGCTAGTGACAGCACTCAGCAAGTGTTACGTAAAGTCATGACTAACCACTGAAAGATAAATATTATAGCCTGTCTACTAGGAGATATGGAAAATGAAAATAAACTGGCAGGAGAAGTGGTTGGAGCCGTAGGGAAGGTAAAGAAACAATTACACCACCTTCTTACGGTGAATCAATAATCATTAGTACATTTTTATGGGGAAGAAACTATAGTTGAGAGTCTTGTCAAGGTAAACCTAAGGGCATCTAAATTAAACTTACATTACCAAACTTTCTTCTGCTTAGCAGGCATACACATGCATGTTGGATTGTCTCCCTGTTCTTGTCAGCATTAGTGTATTTATATGTTTAACAATCTGCCTTGCTCCCAAGAACAGGGCAGACAGAGCAGAGACTGAGAAGCCTGGTCCAGCAATCTGGGTTTGTTGGCGGTAAACTGCCAAGAAGAATTGGTATTTTACCTGTGTGGCAGGCATAACTCACAGATTTTTCTTCAAGTTCAG